TCAATCTGCTGTAAGGTTGAGAGAACAAAGACAGCAGTTTTTTCCCATTCCGGATTTAGCTTGACAAATCACATCCATTCCAGGATTGCTTGAGGAATGCATTCATGTTGCACTGATGATGAACAACATAAAATGGGCCGAAGGAACCAGTTGTAAACAAAAAAAACCTCTCAGACCTCTTAATTTGATAGCTTTTACCCAAACCATATTAAGTCTCCAATACAAGATTATGATAGAAGAATTACCTGCAAAATGAAAATTAAACAATTGCATAAGAGAGGTGACATTATCACATTATCATGAATATCACATGTATCCAAACTTTTTCAAAAACCCCTTAGATCTAAACTAGAAATATGAACCATGGTAACGGAATCAAAAATGATAAAAACAATGCAAGTGATAAAAACAAAGAAGAAATATCATGCTTCCAAACAATTCAAATCACAACTAAATCCCAGAGTCCCAAAAAAATCACAAAAATAGATACAACAAGAATAACAAGAATTGGGGAATTTTTATTATTTGCCTTCAGAAGGATGTTCAAATCCCGAGTCTACGATGGCACGAAGAAGCTCTGGCTTCAGAAGAAAGTCTCTGAATCCCGAACTGTGAATCCCAACGTAGCCCCTAACAACAGAAAAGTAATAGACGGTACATAAATAAGCAGGTAAAAGGAAAAACGGACAACACAGATATTGTTTGCATATTGATTGAACTACTAACTTGAAGAAGATAAACAGTAAAATCCCGCCATATTTATTTTCAAGATACTGCTCTCCACAGAAATCTGTCGATATAGCCGTTCCTATAGATTTATACTATTTAAATTTATACTTCACAAGCAATGACAAATAGGGAGGAAAAAAGGCATCCTAGTAAGGTTTAAATATAATATTGGAGAACGTAGATTTATATCTTAACAGGACGCTGGGGTCAAACACATCATTCATCGCAGAACGCTCGAGATCTCGTGTCTTTCCCACCATTTCTAGGGTAAGATTCACCATGAACCCTCAAACCCTACCGATCAATTCTCCCATCTAATCGGTCTATGCAAACAAATCTGAGTACCAGACAATTCGAAAAGCAGACACCCGACCCCAACAGGCTAGGATAAATAACAGAAAACTTACTTCTTTACAGCTTCACCATTGGCCTTGGCTCCAACGGAATCAGGGGCTTTGTCTTCTTCCTCTTCGTAGTCAAGGAGCTCTTCCTCGTATCCTTCATCCTTTGTTTCTCCCATATTCTGTAAATTCAAAGACGATAGACCTAGTTAATCAGACCGGAGAATTGAATTCTCAGAAACGAACCAGGACTAAGACTAGGGTTTAGAACTACAACTCGAGGAGGAGGAAAAACAAATTTAGGGTTTTAGAATAGATGAGAATACCTGCGCGAACAGTTGGATGAGAAGACTAGTTTGGGGTTTGAAGAGTCTGCAAATGAAATTTGTTAGCTGAAATACAATCGGGGGTAAAAGAAGCTTCGGATAGCTGATGCTGAACCTCTTCAAGAGCGTAAGCAACCGGGCCGCGACACGGACGAAGGATTATGGGGTTCTGAAAGTGGAAATGGACGCAATTTTATAGACAGGCACGATGACAATTGGTTTTATTAAAAAAAAAAAATCCACTCTTCACTCGGGACGATAAAGGCCCAAATGTTGTTGCCAAGAGACCATGTTCGCGGTTCGCCAACCGATGCTGCTTCACCCGTTAACATGATTATGGTTTACAATTTATAATTAAAATAAAATAATCAAACATTTAATTTAAGCATAGATATCATAAATTAAAATAAATCACCAAGATCAAAATATTCCAGTAAACCAGAGACAAATTTGGATCCTTTCCTCATCATTATTTCCACGTAAGAAGTTTATAAAATGTTGGATTTAAACCTTTATTTTTTTTTAATCCAACAATTAAAATAAGATGGGGAGAAATAAAAGATGACAAGAGGTTCAAATACAAGACGGAAGCTAAATTGAATAGTCCACGTTAAATCGAAAAGAAGCCGTGCCTGGCATCGCAACAAATTAATTCTCCATAATCCAAATCCCACAGCACAATGACATTGTAAATTTAATTTTTCATGTGCAGTATTTTTTTTCCCTGTCTACGGCTATCCTTTTTATTAGAAACAATCATATTTGACACAGTATCAAGACTAAATGTAGGCAAATCTAATAATAGCAGAAATTCCAACGTTTTTTTTCCTTTTTCTTTTTTTACCAGCGGAAATTCTAACGTTGGCTCGTGCGTCTACTTGCTTTGTAATATAATGTCACACACAAAACTTTTAAAAGGAACTATGTTGAAAAGAGTCACCAGGTCTCATGACACTCACACAAGTAGGATTTGATCTATAGGACTGCCCTGACATTAACAAGACATGACAGTATGGGAACAACTTGGTGACGATATAGTTAAGGACATATATTTGAAACTTGAGATTGAAACTAATGTGTGTTGAAGAAGTGGATCATTTGGGCTTGAAGCAAGCGAGCTGCTTCGGACTGAGGATAGAACACATGAAAGACGTGGTTCTCTTCTTTAGCCTCCATTATCTCCACCTCTTTGGATCCCTTTCTTCTTCATGAACTCTGCATACATCTCTCCCCTTTCTTCAAGAAATCCTTCCCAGCCACATGCACTTGAATTGCAGGGAATTTAGACCAGTCATTTCACTCACCTCTGCTTTCTCAAAATTGCAGCCATATAGTAGTCTCTGTTGAGCCTTCTGGTATACTTAGCCTCCAAAACATGTCATTCGACCTCACTTCCTCTCCTCCTTCCTCCGCCTTCTCTTTCCCTGTCCTCTTCTCGCTTCCAAAATAAGGATGGATCGGTATTATCCCTTTGATTTTCAAGTCACGTGCATTGTTCTGAATCGCCTTCACGGCCACGTGGTGCGCGATGTTTCCTCCGGCGCTGTCGCCGGAGAGAAACACCCGAGAAAGATCAGCTCGCCGAAGCCAGGGCTCAGAGCCGGCTTGATCGTGAAGCCATTCGAGCGAGCTGTAACAATCTTCGTAAGCCGTAGGAAGTCGATGCTCCGGAGCCAAACGGTAATCGACGGAGAGAACGATGGACTGAGAGGCATCTGAAAAGTCGGATAGGAATTGGTGGTAGCCGAGCCAGGTGGTGGTGGAGCCGATGCAGAAACCGCCGCCGTGGAAGTAACCAAGACGGGTAGCTTGTGGGAGGGGGAAGGAGAATGAGGGACGAAGAGCCTTGCGGTGACGGGTTTTGAGGGGTGGATGATCACGTCCTTGGATTTGCAAGAGTCGGAGGACTGTGCAGAAGGCGGCGCGATGTCAGGGGCAAAGCGTTTGACTGAGCCATCGGAGTAGACCTCAAGGTATCCTGGGGCTTCTGCTATTAAAGACATTATGAGCTTGGGAACGAGTTCAGAGATGAAGAGGTTGAATCAGGATGACGAGGTTCTCTGGATCTTATGCGGGGATTATATTCGTCACAAGATGGTGTTTGGTTCGTCACGTGAATCTTGTTTTCGACTGGTTGCCAATAATCTTCTATCTTTGTTCTTGCATAGACGCAAGATCACAACATTTTGCTCTCTGTTTATTCTTTCCTGGTTTGGAAATAAAGTAGCATCGCATTCACAACATATGAGAATTTCAGTCTCGGAATCACTATTCGAAAAGGGACGAAGCTACGAGTTAAAATGATTATTACTTTTAATTTGCATGAATGAATAGATCTCAATCCCGCCCGGCTTGGTAGAATTTCACGCCAGGCAGGGGTCGAACCTACAGGCGCTCTATCCATCGAGCTACAGGCGCTGATGTGGTTAGTTTGATTAGATAACACTCCTCCAGCAATTAATATAAAGTTTATTTAATTAATCTGATTAGATTAAAGAAGTTAGGTAACTTAATTAGTTATAAGAAATATAACATGTTTTCTCCAAAACGTCATAATCATCTTTCTTGATATCTTTTCTTTCTCTTCTATTTAATTATGGTTGGAAGAGTACCTATAGGAGTAATTTAGAAAAAATTGATAAATATAAAAATATATCTCATATTTAGGATTAAAATCAACTCAAAAATTAAGTCTTATCTTAACAATCGGATGAGTAATACAAATGGTCCACAAGAGTAAACAGTCAAGACCTGCTTGAGTCTCACAGTCAATGGACAAGTCGTATCGAATAGATGACATAGTTTTAACACACAAATACTACCTACGTCCTAATTATAAGATCTCATTTATAATATATATTTAAAAAAAATCTTATAATTAAGACCGGAAATAGTATTGTATATTAAAAACACACTATAGCCCCAGTTTGGGGGAGGTCAATGGGTCAACGATGGATGACTCCCATATACCTCCTTTCTTCTTGGCCATTGCTTGGCAATCTCAAAGCTTAATCTAACTCGCGCAATTTACATTTTGAATGGTTGCAATTATTTTTTAGTGGGTGTGACTCTTCACCCAGATTCCTTCAACTTGAGGCAACTAATATTTTGTTTGGACAACAGTTACTATGAAACAAAACTTAGAAACCATCAAATTTGCCTTAGACTTTTAGAAAAAGAAACCAAGGAAAAAGGAGAAACATAAACATCGAATGCGTCATTAGACTAATCTGAGATTCTGCTACTTGGTTTGCTTCCCTAAGAATCCATAAAAATGCGTAGGTGTTACTTTCTTTGGATCATACAGACTAGTTGACAGGTAAAGAATTAAGGCAAGAAACGAAAGAAGAAAAAGAAGGAAGTCCAAGGGATAATTTAATTTAGGCTAATGTTCAAAAAAGCATAACTTGATAAAATGGGTTTCTACTCATAACAACGTACTCATAAAGTCATAAAGAGAATCGATTCTAGCTTTACATACTTTGGATACGCATCTCTTTCTTCAAACCAAATTTTCATTACATTCTCTTTCCCTCTCAAATTTCTCTCTTTCCTTATATATATACACACACAATTGTAAACGTTGGCTCTGTTAAAGGAATAGTGCTTTTGCCAAACAATATTCTACGAGCGCTTCGATCATCTGTAACCTTATACTTTTTCGTGTTAGTTTCCCCGTCCGCTACATGTTTGTTAAAATTTTGTCTATATTTGTCTTAACTTACTTTCACCTTTTTTGGTTGTGACATAGAAATATAAACATAATGGAAAGTGTGTTGCACGGGACGCTTTTTGTGACCGTATATGATGTTGATAAGCTGCACAATAGATGTAACTTAGATTTTTGCAACAAGGTACCTTCTCCATTTTCTCTATTCACAAAAAAAGATTACTAATTTTCAATGTCTGCCATAAAGGATCCATTATATATATTTTGAACATGGATAGTCTAGTCTAGCTATTAAGTGCAACGATGTCACTAAATCTAAAATCTATGCATATAACGAAGTGTAGTCTACGTGATCAATGCAGCAATTATGAAGCAGATAAAATTTTCAACTTATTCAGCATGTTAGTGATAGTTTTTTCTGATACTTGGAAACTTAAGGTTCCAATTTCTTCAGATATATATCTCATTTTGACCCCTTGAATGAGATCTTATAATAGCATAAGAAGTTGTGCTTTTATAGATAATGCAGCCTAGATGATCTTATTTTTAAAAAGAAGAGTTTTGTCAAAAAAACCCGTTTATCTTAGATATTCCTTGGTGTTCGGGTTATAGCTATTACGAAACAAAATTCCTGAATTCTAGAACTCTCAATGATGTAGTCCACTACATTTCTTCTATTTAGCGATAGAAAGAAACCCAACTGACTTGTTTTTTCCGTGAAACTGGGAAATTAAGGATACACCTCACAAAGGGAAGAGATTTCTAGCCCAAGTGAAGGGTTGTGTGCTGTGTCGACCGGAGGTATTTTCATGCACCTTTTCCTGGTAATTTTACCATTAACTGGTTCGGTCCTCTATTTTCCTCTGCTCATGAAACTAATTTTATCCGTAAACGGCATGATGAAGCTTGTTGGGACTAGACTGTATGCAACAGTTGATTTAGATAAAGCCAGAGTTGCGAGAACCAGAATGATACGACATCAAACCTCCAACCCCAAGTGGAATGAGACCTTTCGCATATATTGTGCCCACAAAGTGGCAAACATCATATTTACAGTCAAAGATGGAAATCCTATTGGAGCAACACTAATTGGAAGAGCATACGTTGCTGTAGATCAAGTTTTGGAGGGGGGCCCGCTAAACAGACAAGTTGAGATTTATGATGAAGACTTACGTCCGATACGAGGTGGCTCTAAAATACATGTCAAAATATCATTCGATCATGCGTTTAATGATCCATACTGGTCTAGAGGAATAAAGAGTGCAGATTTTTTTGGAGTTCCTCATGTATTCTTCAACCAGAGAGAAAATTGCAGAGTCACTTTGTACCAAGATGCCCATGTCCTTAGTGATTTTGCCAAGGTATCTATCCCACTGTCCGGGGCAATCAGATATTATAATCCAGGAAGATGTTGGGAGGACATTTTCAGTGCCATTTATAATGCTAAGTACTTGATTTATATAACTGGGTGGTCTGTTTACACTGAAATAACATTAACTAGGAACTTTGATAAGCCATCCATGACTCTGGGGGAGCTGCTCTTGAAGAAAGCCGATGAAGGAGTCAGAGTGCTTATGCTTGTTTGGGATGACAGAACTTCTGATGAACTCAGAAAAGTGGGTTTGATGGCAACCCATGATGAAGAAGAAACAGCACAGTACTTTAGGAATACTAAAGTAAAATGTGCCTTGTGCCCCAGAAATCCTGATGTTGGAAGGAGCATAATTCAAGGGCTTCAAACTTCAACTATGTTCACTCACCACCAAAAGGCAGTCGTTGTTGACTGTGGCTTACCTGACATTAATGAAGAGCTCAATGGAGGAACACACAAGAGGGCTGTTGTAAGTTTTATAGGCGGAATTGATCTGTGTGACGGGCGATATGATACGCATGAGCATCCTTTGTTTTCAACTCTAAACACAATCCATAAAGATGATTTCCATCAGCCAAACTTTCCAGGAGCTTCAATTAAGAAAGGTGGCCCAAGAGAGCCCTGGCATGACATTCATTGCAAACTAGAAGGGCCTGTTGCGTGGGATGTCTTGTACAATTTTGAGCAGAGGTGGGAGAAGCAAGTTGGTAGGGACTTCCTTATACCTCTTACTGTGCATGATGAGATTTTTGTCTCTCCGTCTGAAATAAAACCATTAGAAGACCATGAGACATGGACTGTTCAGTTGTTCAGGTCCATTGATGGTGGTGCCGTTTCTGGGTTTCCTGAAAACCAAGAAGAGGCAACCAAGTTAGGCCTTGTCAGTGGGAAAAATAACATCATTGATAGAAGCATTCAAGATGCTTACATAAATGCTATTAGGCGAGCCAAGAATTTCATATACATCGAAAACCAGTATTTCCTGGGGAGCTCATATGGCTGGAAATCAACTGATTTAAAACTTGGAGATATTGGAGCTCTGCATCTTATACCAAAGGAGCTGTCACTAAAGATTGTGAGCAAGATTAAAGCAAGACAGAGGTTTGCTGTGTACATTGTGATCCCAATGTGGCCAGAAGGTGATCCTGAGAGTGCTTCAGTTCAAGCAATATTAGACTGGCAAAGGAGGACAATGGAGATGATGTATACCGATATAGCTGAAGCCATTGAACAAGTAGAATCTAAAGCCGACCCCACAGACTACCTCAACTTTTTCTGCCTTGGGAATAGAGAGGTGGAGAAGCCTGGAGAATATGTTCCTCCAGAGAAACCAACGCCTGATTCTAACTATGATAGAGCACAAAAAGCCAGGCGCTTCATGATCTATGTTCATTCAAAGATGATGATAGGTAAGATATACCTGCACTATATATACCTACTAGTTTAAACACAAATAGTGGATTCCCCTAATGATTTGCATATGTTTGTGTTTCTAGTTGATGATGAGTATATAATAGTTGGCTCAGCCAACATAAACCAGAGATCAATGGATGGGGGAAGAGATACAGAAATTGCAATAGGGGCATTCCAACCGCATCATCTAACAGAGGAAGAGAGTCTGCCAAAAGGTCAGATACATGGATTCAGAAGGGCATTATGGCTTGAGCATCTTGGAGATATAGATGCTGAAATGTTGGACTATCCAGAAAATGAAGACTGTGTGAAGCTTGTGAATTTTATTGCTAAAGATAACTGGGAATTATACACAAAGGAAACATTCAATGAAGATGATTCAAGTCTATTTAAGCATCTCTTGCGTTACCCCGTTGATATAACAAAAGGTGGGGGAGTGGTTGCATTAAAAGGGTTTGAATTCTTTCCTGACACTAAGGCTCGTATTCTAGGTACCAAATCTGAGTACCTTCCTCCTTTGCTCACTACCTAGGTTGAACTGTGTGGCTCTGTTTTGTGTATTGTTGAAATTAGTCATCGATAAGATTTCACCAAAAGCTGACTTTTCACATTACCAAGTTATGTAATTGATTTTTTAGAAATTGTTCAGGTCTTTTATGATCTTTCTCGCCCCTGTATATATCAATTACACCCTTTGCAGAATCCCTCTTGCTGTTCAACGGATAAGATTCTTTTTTTTAAAAAAAAATTGTTGATGAGTAAAAGATGCAGTGTTAAGAATTTGAGGTTGAATAGAAGAAAACCTTTAAATATGAGAATTTGGTTACATAAGCCGCCTGAGGAAGCATGTACATCACGGCTGAAATAAATGTTTGAGATGACTGTAGGTTGAAAAGTTAAAATGAATCATATTCCTTGGCTATGTGACTCATTGTTCATTATCCTTTCCTTTTTCTTTGTTACTTTGGATCTCCATAGTAAATTTTTCTCGTGGAAAAGAGTACATGTTTGGTAAATTTATTCTAAAAACACAAAATAATTAAAAACCAAGGACATTCATACGCTATATGCAAGTTTACTTTTATAATTGCATTTGTATATACCAGCAAAAAATTGGTCTAACGGTAAGACGTCACTAAATCTCTCTTTGAATCTCAAGTGACGTATGGGTCAATCTTTGATCATCAAATCTTCTAAATATAAACTAAAACCTTTAAAGAAAAAATAAGGAAAGCTCACCATGAAAAATTTTATTTGTTGAGAAAAACAGATAAATTTTTGTACATGGGACTTCACAAATTTTATACAATAATGATACTATAATCTAGATCCTTCAACGATAAAAATTTTGATGGCTTGTCTTTCCTAATTTGTCCAAAGATTTCAATTTAATGACAGGTATTTAGTTGAAATGGACACGACTCTATTTTTGGAACAATACAGCTGAGTCGAAGTACAAAACCGAACGGGGAAAACCCAACAATAAGGAAAGTACAAGAATAAGAATATACTCGTACCACATGGGTTGTTATTGAATGGATTAAAGCAGGGGACAGATTCTACCTTCAACTTCTCATTCACACATCTCTTTCTTGTTCCCAAACCCAAACATAACTATATGCAGATTCTTTCTTCCCCTTATAGCCTCCCTGCAACATAAATATGCCAATTCAAGCTTTATCCTCAAGATCATTCATCAACTTCTCTTTCCTCAATTCCCATGTACGTAACATTCTAGTGACCATAAATGAAAATTTCCCAATGGATCATCATCATTTCCCCCCCCTCTCTCTCTATATATATATATCTGTGTATGATCTCTTCATGTATGTACTCACATTAATTTCTTAATACTGATTATTTCATAGCTCGCTCAGGAGTATCACAAAGTATAATATAATTACTAAGAATGTTGCATTTGTTGCATGGGACGCTTCATGTGATCATATATGATGTCGACAAGCTGCATTCTGGACTCAACTTCAGTAGTCTCAACAACCAGGTGCCTTCATCAAGATCAAAACCCTCTATTTCTTGTTCTTTTATCCGTCGTTACGTTTTTGGTGATGCACATGAAGAATTTCATTTGAGCTGCCATATTAATTTAGGTTTTTTTTAATTTTGTAGTTATCTCTCAATCTAGTTATAGAAATAAGATGCACTTACGAATATCATTGGGTGTTAATTTGTTGATATTTTAATTTTACTTTTTATTTAACGTTATAGGGAATATTCATGTAAATATTTGATATTTTTCACTCAAAACTGAACGGCAAATTCTTCCCTTTTTCCCCGGGAAAAATATCTGAACTCATCATCTGATATCTTTTTATATCGTGTCTTCTTTTTCCTAATTTCAACTTGAAAAATAAGGGTGCAAGAAACTTTGGGAAGAAAGTTCTCACTCGAGTCAAGAGTGTTTTGCGATCCAAGCCTCAGGTACGCCCTTTATTAGCCCTTTTCCTTTCAACTAAGTAAATAGCGATTTTTTTTCTTATTAGAAGTTGGCCCGAATGACATATAGGGACTATTGAAATATTGACGTTTGAATGATTGATTAATATGAGGGAGTGTTTAATTTTTAAAAAAATACCTTTGAAAAATCTTTATACCTAAATTGAGAAAAAAATTTGCATATTTATTTTATATACTATAAAATTATTTTTAAAATTATGATTTTGTTTTATTTAAATTCTGTTAAAATGATTTAATTACACTGTAGTTCTTAAAGACTTTTCTAGTTTTAAATTTTTTGCCAAATTGCCATGCTAATTCTTTAAAAAGTACTTATTACAGACAAACTTATAATTGTTACTGGTTACTATTTTTTATCCTTAATATAAGAGTTAATTGACTAATTTAAGTAAATTAAGAAATTTTGTTGAGTTAGTTATTTATAACAAATGGGCCTAAAATATCATTGCTAATGATGTGTATTAGCTAAAACTACCATTTGATGGAATATTTGACATGTATAACTATTATAATGACTATTTCAGAAACAATAATAACTACGAGAGACAAAATGAATTGGGGTCTTATATTTAGAATCAAATTGAATATCAAACTAGCTCTTAAATTGTTACTAGTTAGTACTCGTTATATTAGACTTGTTATTGAGCTCTGGGGAATTATTAATCCTTTAAACCCATTAATTCTTTCTTTTTTAAAACAAAAAAGTCGTCACTACGAAATTTGTAGTTATCATTGCTCATTAGTAATTAGTGATTAAAATTGTTAATTGTTACGTGAAACTTGTCATTAAGTAATTCAGTGTAATTTAAAATCATGGGCAATATGGTGATTTGATAAGGAAGATTAAAAATGTATATATATGCAGATCGCTGGGACTAGAATGTATGCAACTGTTGATTTGGATAAAGCAAGGGTCGCGCGAACAAGAATGATACGCCAAACCTCTAAACCCAAATGGAATGAGAAATTTTATATATACTGTGCCCATTCCATTTCTGAGATTATATTCACTCTCAAATATGATAATCCCATTGGAGCAACTCTAATTGGAAGAGCTCATATACCCGTTGAGCAAGTCCTCAGAGGTAACATTGTGGATGCTTGGATTCCTATATTGGATGAGGATCGTCGTCCCATACAAGGTGGCTCTAAAACACATGTCAGCATACAGTTCTTTGATGTTACAAAGGATGTAACTTGGTCTCAAGGAATCAAAACCCCGCGATATGCAGGTGTTCCCCATACGTTTTTCACTCAGAAAGTTGGCTGCAAAGTTACTTTGTACCAAGATGCTCATGTCCCAAATGCTTATCTTCCGATGATTCGTTTGTCTGAAGGAAGATATTATGAACCTAGTAGATGTTGGGAGGACATTTTCCATGCAATCACAAATGCTAGGCACTTGATTTACATAACTGGGTGGTCTGTGTATACTGAAATAACATTGATAAGGGACCTAAGGGGACCAATTCCTAACATAACCCTTGGGGAACTTCTCAAGAAGAAAGCTGATGAAGGTGTTAATGTTCTTATGCTTGTGTGGGATGATAGAACTTCTGTTAAAGAGCTAAAGAAAGATGGGTTGATGGCAACCCATGATCAGGAAACAGAAGAGTATTTTAGGAACACAAAAGTAAAGTGTGTTTTGTGTCCACGTAACCCAGATGATGGACGTAGCATAATTCAAGGTTTTGAGATTTCAACAATGTTCACTCATCATCAAAAGACTGTGGTTGTTGATAGTGGAATTCCTGGTGAAGGATCTCAGAGGCGAAGGATAGTGAGTTTTATTGGTGGCATTGATTTGTGTGATGGGAGATATGACACACAAGAGCATCCTTTGTTCTCAACTCTAAACACAACCCATTATAATGATTTCCATCAGCCAAACTTCCCAGGAGCTTCAATCAAGAAAGGAGGCCCAAGAGAGCCATGGCATGATATTCATTGCAGATTAGAAGGGCCAGTGGCTTGGGATGTCTTGTTCAACTTTCAACAAAGGTGGGAGAAGCAAGTTGGGAAGCAATTCTTACTCCCTCCTAGCCTGCTTAATCGGATTTTAGTACCTCAATCTTATATAGAGACATCAAATGATAGAGATGCATGGACTGTTCAATTGTTCAGATCCATTGATGGTGGGGCAGCTTCTGGCTTCCCTCAAGACCCATCTAAAGCATGTGAGTTAGGCCTTGTTAGTGGGAAGGATAATGTCATTGACAGAAGTGTTCAGGATGGTTACATAAATGCCATTAGGCGAGCCAAGAACTTCATCTACATTGAAAACCAGTATTTCCTGGGGAGCTCATATGGTTGGAAAGAGGCCGACATAAAAGTTGAAGATATTGGAGCTCTACATCTAATACCAAAGGAGCTATCACTGAAGATTGTGAGCAAGATTGAAGCAAGAGAAAGGTTTGCAGTGTACATTGTGATCCCCATGTGGCCAGAAGGTATCCCCAAGAGTGGTTCAATTCAAGCAATATTGGATTGGCAAAGAAGAACAATGGAGATGATGTATACTGATATTGCTACAGCCATTCAGAGAAAAGGAATCAATGCCCACCCTAGAGATTACTTGTCATTTTTTTGCCTTGGAAATCGAGAGTATAAGAAACCTAAAGAATATGTTCCTCCAGAGAGACCAGATCCTGATAGTGATTATAGTAGAGCACAAAATGCCAGGCGCTTCATGATCTATGTTCATGCCAAGATGATGATAGGTGAGGGATTCTGAACTCCATAATATTAGCTAGCCCAACATACTAACCTAACTTGGATGCTTTTTGTTTCTTCTTTTTTCAGTTGACGATGAATACATAATCATCGGTTCTGCCAACATAAACCAGAGATCAATGGATGGTGCAAGGGACAGTGAGATTGCAATGGGTGCGTTCCAACCATATTATCTTACATCTTATGGCCCACCCAGGGGTCAAATCTATGGGTTTAGACGAGCTTTATGGTACGAACATCTTGGAGTTCCTGATAAAGGTGATGAAGCCTTTGAATATCCAGAAAGTGAATATTGTGTGAAGCTTGTGAATTATCTTTCAGACTTGAACTGGGAAAAATATTCAAATCCAACATTTAATCCACAAAGTTCATTCAACCACCTCATGCGTTACCCTATAGACATAACCAAAGATGGCAATGTAACAAAACTACAAGAATTTGAATTCTTCCCTGACACTAAGGCTTCTGTTCTGGGCTCCAAATCAACCCTCCCTCCGATCCTCACCACTTAGTGGTAAGCAATAACCATCTTTCCTTATGATAATTATTTGACTAGAAAAGTTTAGTCCTTGTTCATCATCATATACATATTGTCCTCTTCTATATTGAAGTTTATTATGCTCTAATAATTAAAATGACAATATGGGTTTCTTTATTATTATCATTTCCCCCCTTTTTGGAAGGATTGGTTGCTTCAGCTACTATAAGCGACGAAGTGAGGTATGGAGATAGAGATAAGGCCTGCATGGTTGGCGAAAGCAAGTGGACGCTTTGTCAATTATAAGAATCTTCTTTGATTAATGAAAATGATTGTTCAAAATTAGATTTCAAAATTTCATTAGGGTGAAATTATTGTAAAAGCCTTGGGTGTGTTTGTATTGGCAATTGTTGATGTATTATTTTATTTTTTTCATCACCAATCGAAATACGCTCTCTGCAAATTATTTTTAATTCTTGGACCTCCTAAAGGAGGCACACCTTATGACTAGAGTGATCACTTTATAGTCTTATATTACAGATCCACTTCCAACACCAATTAAAAAATAAATAAAAGGGAACTTGGTATATATTTATAATTTGTAAATATTGTGATTTCTTGTAATTTTCATCTCAAAGGTCAACATCTACGTAATTGCCACATGACATATTGAAGCTGGTGTGAAATCCAAAGTTGCAAAAAACGATGTATGGCAGTGAAAGGAACTGAATGCTCAATTTATACGAATCATCTGTGATTAATGAAAATGATAATTAGAAATGGCTAAATGTTTCCTTCAAAAAAAAGGTTGGAATTGGTGTGATTACTTTATGGATTATAGATACGTTATATTTTATAAGCACAGTGTTGTGTGATGTTCAAAAGTAAAAAAACCAACTTCCCTCCGACAGATATAAAATTGCCAGTGGTTGTATGTACTATGTAGCATTTAGATTTGGTACTCCTTTAAAAGAAGCACACTTATTTCTCTAAATAATTTATAGCTCAAGTTGGTTGAGCATCTGAATAACATCTGTGGAGAAACTATGGGAGCTCCTTCGATTATATTTGCAATCAAATTACTATAAGGGCCAACCTTTTAGAGATTGACTTGCAATCCTCAATTTGAGCATTTCAACTTTCAGGTTTTTCTTTTTTTAATTTCTTTTCATCATTATATATTTGAAGGAAAGTCATAGAAAATTTTAGCCTTTTATTTTTGGGAATCCAAAGCTAGCACGATCTTTCAATCTTCTTCCTTGTATTTTCCCCCTTCTTTTTCTTTTTTCTTCTCTTACGGGTTGGGAGACGAGCACTTGGGCAACTTAGATTAGAGGTAGCCTGTTGAATTTATTATGTTCGATTTTTCTGAGGGTTTTCCTTTCCTTTTATTGTACATGCAGGGTATTGAATTTTCTTCTTTCTAGATTCTGGAATTTGTATTATATGGGATATATCTCTACAATGATCTGCGTAAATGCAATTCTGTAGATACCTTCCCCCTTGGGTCTGTGGAATTTTGGCATTAATAGGGTGAGTTTACTGGTCTTGTCTTTGTTTGCGCTGTTTAATGGGTGACAAAAACAAGATCGATTTTCAACCTTTGAACTTATCTTCTACCCTTATCTAGTTAAACTAGACAAACAACTATTTTACCAGAGTATAGCTATTATTTAGTTTAGTTAGCTTTCTTGGATAGCAAAAAAATAAAAAAGCCATGATGAGTTTTTTGTTTAGCTACAAGGCTATGGAAAAAAATGATTTAAGATTCGGCTTGTCAAAGATTGAAACACTAGGCTTAAAGAAAACCACATAGGTGTTGTTGACTTGTTATTATGAAACCTTGATGAGCTGAAGATTGGGTTTTTATATACTTTTTAATTTTTAATTTTTAATTTTGCCTCTTTTTGCACTTTTTGGAAGAGTTAATGTCATCCTATGTTGTCATTAGTACTCTTTTAATCTTATTTGGAATTCCATGCTTATTCTTGCTTCTTTTCTAAGCAAGCATAAGATCTAGTGAACAAGGAAATTTGCTAAGGCTTTACTGTTTTTCATTCCTTCCTTAGATTCTTGGGAAGTTGGTAATTAGATGCATATAATATTTTCCCTGCTTTAGGATTTCCTCACAAGCATGTATTCTACGTGTTGCTTGTTATCACTATGGGAGAGTTGCTTGGGGAGGAAACCTTGCTGTTCATTTTTGCTATTTTGTGGTGCTTGTTGTCGTGTGTTGGTGTTTTCTACCTTGGGCTTAAGTGCAAGGAGCTTTTTAGTGTAAGGAATAATTTTTTCCTACTGAATTTAGTTCCAGAAATCATATCATTTTTTTCAGCATATCATTTTTGTTATTATAACACTGATTGTGGACATCCTCGTTCTATATAGCAAGAGGCACCTTATTCAACTATTCTAAGTTCAATTCAAAGGAAATAGAAGAAGGAGGAAAAATAAATAAAGTTGTTTTAGCCCATTTATAATCAGGACTTGATTGTGAAATTTTGTATTATGGTCTGTTCAACCTTGCACAACCTTTCTAATGCTTCTCTTATACTTTTAATCTAAATGCTCAACATGTTTCCTGAGTCTAGTGATGTTATTTGACATGAAGATGCTGGAGGATATATATTTTTCCTTTTTATATGTTTTTTTTTCTAAAGAGTATCTGTTTTAGAAAGAAAAAGTATCTGGCTTGTACAAGTTGAGAAGGAAGAACATGTAATGTGAAAAAGCAATATAAGCTTAGATTATTTAGTGGCTTACTAGAATGTGGAAGGGTGTCATGTAGTGAAGTTACATTACCTTAGAGGGGAGATACAATCTTGTTTGCAATTATTATGTTGCTGTTGAGTTTCTCTTAGCAATATAAGCTTATTAGGTCTCTGTGTTTTGTTGGTTGTTTGGTTATCAATTTGGTCTAATCAGAAGTATAATACTAGAAACACAATAACACCCTCAATCACTCACATTAGGTTATGCTGTGTGAATTAAGTTAAAATGACTGATATCTACTACCCTTTACCACCACCATCTTCTTCTTTTTTATATTCGAGCTACATGAAATGAGTCAGTAGCAGCTGCTAATCATGCTTCAAGTTGAATCTGCTTTGTAACATAGTAGAGGCTGCCTAGGATGCTGTGTAAAACCTCCAATAATTGCTTCAATGGATGATCCATCCAAGAGACTAAGGAATCTAAGTGCAACGGGGACAAAAGACAATGGATCGAAAGAATTTTGGAATAGCAGCCCTTTAGCAATGGATCACAGTACTGGTTAATCCCAGAGAAGCATCTCATCAATAGGCATGTCTAACCATACCTCTAATCCCCAGAGTAGTGCCAACAATCAAATTGATCCTCCTGAGTTTATCAATCATGGCAAGTTTATCGTTAAATATCTATCTATTATGAGTTGTTTCGTGTGTTTGTCTGAGTTAGCAAAGCATACATGTAGTTTTGAGTCTTCTTAGTAAATCATTTTCTTTGCCACATCTTGTTTGGAATAGCTTGAATGCCACCTTTTATGCTAATGTTTCATTGCTATGGTTTCCATATGTTTCCTTCTTATTGACAAGAAGATGAGATTTGTGTGGGGAGAGTTAATTGGTCACAGCCATTTGACATCTTGCGTGTTAAAACTCTCGATCTTTTGAATCGTCATTTTAGCCATTAGATCTATCATGGTATTACCTTTAATTGCAGAAGAGTTTGATGAATGCAAGTCTTCTTCTCTGGAACTAGATAAGGCATCAATGGATTGGAAACAAAAAATCTAAGAAGCAGACACAAGTTAGAGAACCCAGAAAAAGGTAAAGGAATACATACGCTTCCTTCTATAAAGCATTAGGTGTTAATTTGTGGTATAAACATAAGCATAAGCTTTTTGCAGTACTAAATGAGATTAAATGTGGCTCAGTGGGAATGCAACCTATGAGAGCCTACTTGGGACCAACAAGCCCTTTCCCCAACCCTTACTTTTGGGAGTAAGTGCTTTTGAACTTGCTTCTTCTTCATTCATTCATAGAATGCACCATGTAATTGATTTTGAATTATTCTTGTGGTAGGAAATGGTTGACTTTCTTGTTAATGTTTGGGAGCAAGATGGTCTATATGATTGATAAACCAAAATAGGCCTTAGTTTATTGGATTTTGCAGAGAAAGGGATTTGAAATAGAATTTGTTCATCATCCTACTCCCTGCTCAAAGATTGTGAATTTTGTACTTGATTATATCCTCTCTCTCACTTTCTGGTTGTATCAATATGATTATCTGTGTAAAGGAATGTTCTACTCTTGTCTTGCCTGCATTGCAAGTATGTGTACCATGTGCGAATGCTTAAGAGGTAATTGAGGATTAATTTTCACGTGTAGCTTGAATTAGTTTCTTTATGGCATTAGAAAAGTTTAAACTCGAATCAATATCTACCCTTCATCCTAATTTTTATCTTCCTTTTATGTTTAAAGGGTTTTGTTATTGTTGATTTTCTCTATCCTGGTAATATGGACTCACTAAAAGCTTGGGGATCATGTTTATAAACACTTGTAAGCATGTTTCACATAAGATGAAATAAAACTTCTCTAACATACTTATCTCATATTCTGTAAATTATGATCGAAAAAAGCTGCTTATAAGTTATTCTAAATGGCCCCTAAAAAGTCTGATGAAATAGTCCTTCCCAACACGATAAATTAATATTCAAATTCTCATTGGGAGAGGTATTCACATTTAGTACATAATAATAATACCTTGAATAGAATTGAAAAAAAAACATGGACTCTAATAATTTAAATTATTTGACGCGTGAATCACCCATTAGTCCATTACAAAACACACTATTCTAATTAGCAGCAGCACCTTAAGTTAGTTCTTTTGTTTTTCCTTTTGAAAAAACTTTTGGTTAAAATATTTTGGAGGAAGTTACAAGTTAAGGACCCGGTGAACCCACAGCAAAAAAAACCCAAAAGTAATATCCAAACCAGAACCAGGCCTAAGTGGAGATGGGCCTTTTACTCTCAAAAGAAAACTTTCTGGTCTTCCTCTTGACATTGGAATCATCATCATCGTACGTTTATATGAACTCGTTTTGCAGTCTCCTCTGATTCAGTCCCAAAATCATTTTTCCTCGTTCTGGGCTTATCTTTTGAATAACTTTTATTTTGATGCTGTGCCTCAAAACTCCAATAGCAGCAGAATCTGCTGATATATGTTGGTTCAATCACAGGCAGCAGAGCAAACTAAAAGGAGAGAACCGAGAACCTGTTTTGGCCTTCCAAACCGAACGAACCAAAACGCCTTGTTCATTACCAAAATCGAAACGATGGGAAAGGATAAGGTGGTCATTGGCATAGTTGATGTTTATTCGAGAGTAGAAAAAAGACAAAGAAGATCCAAAAGGATTGAGGCAAAATGTGCGTGTCGTTCCCCACCACCACCACTGAGTGTCACAGAAGAACATCGCATAATGAATGAATGAGGTGTGCCTTTCCCACCAGGGAAAGAGAAAGTGGGGTGTGGGCCATTCCCAGTATATGTTTGTTTAATGGGATATAAATTTGTTCTGAAAATTTTTATTTACGAACATTCATAAATTTTTTTTTTTGGTTCAATACTATCTTGAAAGTTAATTATGAAGCCACTTGTCTGGTTAGGAATAAACAGAAACATGCTAGCAATGATTAAGAAAATTAAAACCCAACTACATCAATCTTAAAAATTGTTACAAATTAAGGAAGTTTCTTAGTGAGTGAATTATTTGTATGCGGTCGTGATGACTTGGTGAGTAAAATTAGTGGAGTCACATCAGTTATTGTCGTGAGGGCGCAGAATGAAAAGTGTGTAAAACAGACACGACCTTAGTCCCTGGCGTATCTACCTGTCATTGCTCGCTCTGGCCATCGTGCCTTATATATTCATATTCGACGCCTTTTAATTCACAGAAACCCTCCCTCCCTCACTGCCTCTTTCATCAAAACCTCGACACGTGACTCTCCAATCCCAGCTTTCGTTGTACGTATTTATCGTTTCCATCCCATGTGTAGGGAAGAGATCGATGATGGAAGCTAAGCCCATCAAAAAGCAGCTTTTTTTATTCATTTATTTTATGCCATTAAATACACGGGCATGTTAACGTTTGAAGGCCGAGTTAACGTGATTGGGACAGCTCGCCCTCTCAAAAAAGCAAAGGAAACCCAGTTAGCTTGATGTTAAAAACTGTCAAAACTGTATTAAAGCCAGGCTGTGATTGTGTATGTTAGTAGCAGGCACATGTATCGTACGGGGATGAATCCGGCCAACATAATTAATTTTGTATTGTATAGGAGTGGGGTTCAAGTTGAGATAATTTAAAGGGAAAATTACGTACAGGTCCCACAGAAGGCAATTTATTACTCTGAGGTCCCACGAAATGTCAAAATCACTGACAGGTCCCAAGGGACCTCAGAGTAATATCTTTGATTTGTAAAATGACATTACTGTCCCTCATATTCCAGATTCACATTTGCCTTGTCATTGCGATTTACAACCTCAGCAGTGACTATTAACAACCTAATGAGAGGGCGTTAACAACTCTAGCAGTATCCGTTAACAACTTACTTTATAGAATCATATAACCTCCACATAAGAGTAAATTATAACCAAATAGTATAATACAACAATTTTAACACTAAAATGGGAAGCTTTTTTATATCATTAAGAATTTTAACTAGATCCAATAAGATTATAGTAATATTTTAATGCGAAGATCCATTTATAACCTCAACAGCGACTATTAACAATCGAATGAGAGGGCATTAACAACCTAAGCAGTATCCGTTAACAACTTATTTTATAGAATTATATAACCTCCGCATAAGAGTAAATTATAACCAAATAGTATAATACAACAACTTTAACACTAAAACGGAAAGCTTTTTTATATCATTAAGAATTTTAACTACACCCAATAGGATTATAGCAACATTTTAATGCAAAAATCCATTTACAACCTCAACAGTAAATATTAATAACCTAAGGAGAACTGTTAACAACCTCAGCAGTGTCTGTTAACAACTAACTTTATCGGATAATATAACTTCTAACTATAACTAACTAAATTATAACTAAATAGTCTTAAAGTTAATCTTATATAGTTGTTAGAGGTTATATTATCCTATAAAGTCAGTTGTTAACAGATACTGCCTAGATTGTCAACAGCTCTCTTTGGGTTATTAATACTCACCATTGAGGTTGTAAATGGATCTTCGCATTAAAATGTTGCTATAATCCTATTGAGTTTAGTTAAAATTCTTAATGATATCAAAAAGCTTCCTATTTTAGTGTTAAAGTTGTTGTATTATACTATTTGATTATAATTTACTCTTATGCGGAGGTTATATAATTCTATAAAGTAAGTTGTTAACAGATACTGCTTAGGTTGTTAATGCCTTCTCATTCGGTTGTTAATAGTCGCTGTTGAGGTTGTAAATGGATCTTCGCATTAAAATATTACTATAATCCTATTGGATCTAGTTAAAATTCTTAATGATATCAAAAAGCTTCCCATTTTAGTGTTAAAATTGTTGTATTATACTATTTGGTTATAATTTACTCTTATGCGGAGGTTATATAATTCTATAAAGTAAGTTGTTAACAGATACTGCTTAGGTTGTTAATGCCTTCTCATTCGGTTGTTAATAGTCGCTGCTGAGGTTGTAAATCGCAATGACAGGGCAAATGTGAATCTGGAATATGAGGGGCAGTAATGTCATTTTACAAATCAAAAATATTACTCTGAGGTCTCTTGGGACTTGTCAGTGATTTTGACATTTCATGGGACCTCAGAGTAATAAATTGCCTTATGTGGGACCTGTATGTAATTTTCCCTAATTTAAATGGAGGGTTTAGCCTGAACAGGAGGGAGATGAAGAGGTATGAATCATATGGGAAAAGCTATTGGGTCAAAAAGAGAAGAAGATGAGTTGGAGACATGAATAATCCGATGTCTGAGGTTACAAGTTGAAGATATATAGAAACTGATACATAAATTAAAAAAAAGATGAAGATACTGCATATCCATGGCAGACCAGCACAGATCTGTCGTGGGATTAGAATAGTATAAGGCAAGTGGAGGATGATATGCTTTGAGGAAAAGCGAATCTCGCTGTCTCCAATGTCTTATTTCATATTTAAATCATAATTAATAATAATAAGCTAAATTGATTGATATATATGTGTTGAATATAAAAGAACAAGAGGGGGTGGGAGGAAGATATTTGACTTGAACCAATGAACCTGGCGACCAAACATGGGTGCCTGTGAATCCGCAAGGAAAAGACACCCCCATCTTCCTAATTCACATTTACACTTCCTTTTGTCATTATCTTCTCTTCATATCTTATTCAATTTACCTACCTGATCACCATAATTTTTGTGTCCTGTTTTTTTTCCTCTCAGTTATTTACTAATTAACCTGCCGACTGTAATAAAGCTGAACACAAAACTATAAAAATATGATTTAATTAGGAATATTTTCCCATCAAATAAGAAATTATGATTACTAAAAATAATTTTACTAAAATGTCACCTATATGTTTTGATTTACAGATATCCAGCATGGGAACAATTCAACGTGATCTGTAATATACTTTACATATGTGTGTATAATGTTTAAAGAATCCAGCATGGGAGCCCGTTCAGGCAATTATAGGCGAGTGCAAGGGTGGATCTGCCACATTTATAATATGTTATTAGCATATAATATATATACACACCATGTGTTCTTTATCATCCCCATTTTGTATTAAACTAAAGGGAAGGCAATTCAAAACGATCAAGTTGGTTTCCATGCATGAACCTGGAAGCTTTTGTGCCGTATGATTTTGTTTTGAAAGAATAAATACGAACTTTCTCAACAAGCGGGTATGAATTTTCCAGTTTCGTTCCTTTGGAGTTTGGACCAAACCTGCGCGTCAATTTGAAACAGCTCATCATTCTTCAATGTCAAGGTAACAAACACGAGGAAAAGTTAGGCTCTATTTTAAACATTACTTTATCCATTATTGATACTGCGAAGAAAGACACGAGCTTAACTTGAAATAAACCTCAGATATAATATATATTATTTATTGGAAATCTTAAAAATAACTGTACTAAATATGATTCTTGTGAAAGAAGAATTCCATCTCATCTAATTGAATAGTTTCTATTTATATACAATTTTTTTTCATACTCATGCATAAGTTTTTATGTGTGAATTTAGTGGGAGAGGATTTTTTTGCCTCTTTATTCTCCATTTTGTTTTCATTTATCTCTTTTCTAATAATTAGGGCAATATTTAGACGTGCTGACTTTAATCAAATTCTTCTCCCAAATTCAGCATCTTCAACACCCAAAAAGACAGAATAAAAATAATTATCTAAAATAATGAAAATAAGTTAGGTATATATTATTTTCTACCAATAATTCTTTTTTCCCCCTATACATTATTACCATCGGCAACAATAATCAATATTTTGCCATCAACCGGGCAAACAAAGGCCAACCATCTCAGATTAAAAAATTGCGTGGAAAATCAAAACCAGATCCCCATATATCTGGTTTCTGGTTTCGGGGGGGAAGAATATTACAAAGAAACCCCACTTTCTATGCCCAGATACATTGCATGTGGGTACCATTCAGTGTATTGTCGCGTACCGGAATGATTCGATTTCCACTCGCGACGATAAAAGCTTCCCTTTGACAAACATCACCTCTCCATTTCTCTTCTCCCCAATTCCTCTTCCTCGTTTTCCTTTTTGCCCTATCTAATAGGGTTTTCATGATCTTCTAGATCCACTTTCTCTCATGCATTCTTGCCCTCAACACTCATACGTCGCAATTAACGCCATACTGTTCTTCTGCTCTATCGTTTTTGCTCTCTTTCGAGGGTTCTTTGGTGGAAATCAGTGCAGATTTGAACTCCCGGGGTTTATTGAACTATACCCATGTCTAAAGTCATCGGCTTTGCCGGTAAGTTTATGGATTAATCCTATCATGTTTGATTATCTGGTTTGTTTGTTATGGTTATGCTGAAATCTTCTGGCTCGCTGTTGTTAATATTTCTGGACATGAAATAGAAACCGAAGTCTCGAATTTTTTATGATAATCTCGTTTTGCGCTGAGATTTGATCGTGGTAGTTGATCGTGTAAATGGTTTGTTCTCGGCGATGCTGTTAGTTGTTTACTGTGTGTTTTCCCAGTTGCTTCGGGCTTAAACCTTTTTGGCATTCGATGACTGATTGATATGTGGAGGATAAGAATATATCTATCTTGTGATCGGGGTTTAGGTGTTATTTTAATTCTATTTTTCCATGAAAGACCTCTTGTCCCCTGGACGATGCTGTGGGATGTTCGGCGTTTCAGATTTTAGTCTATTGTGTGAGCTTGGTTTCTATTTATAAGATAGCCAATCTAGTATGGAATTTTGTTATGAATCCTTTTGTTTGATGAAAAGAGAATAAGTCTGTTTGAGTACGTATTTGAGATTGATCTTTTCTGTTGAAAGATAATCAAAATCTTAATCCTTTTGTCAGGTTAGATCCTAATGAATTTCATTCATATGTGTGGTTGTTTGTATTTTGTTCCATGGTTTCATTCAGACTTGATAGTTCATATTAACTTGTCTAGTCAATTTTTGTTTACACAGTTTATTTTCCTAACTCAGCATGTGTTTATGATTTTCAGGAGGTGACGATTTTTGCCCTGGGGGGTCAATATACACTAATCCCAAGGAATCTAATCTATTATTGTCTCTTGGCAACCATGTTGATGTTTACTTCCCTCCTCGGAAGAGATCTCGAGTCACAGCACCTTTTGTTTTTGACGGAGAATGGTTTGAACAGAAGCAGAAGACATCTATTGAAGCTTTGCCAGATGAATGCCTCTTTGAGATCTTTAGAAGGTTGCCTGTAGGCCAAGAAAGGAGTGCATGTGCCTGTGTTTCCAAGCGCTGGCTTATGCTTTTAAGCAGTATTTGTAAGGATGAAATCTGCAGCAGCAAAATTACCACACATGAGAACGAGTCTTGTGAAAAGGAGGTTGATGATCTGGAATTTGGGGGTGATGGTTACCTGTCCCGGAGCTTAGTAGGAAAGAAGGCAACAGATGTTAGACTTGCTGCCATTGCCGTTGGTACTGCTTCTCGTGGAGGACTGGGAAAACTTTCTATCCATGGGAGCAATTCAGATCGTGGGGTGACCAATCTAGGTCTCAAGTCTGTTGCCCACGGATGTCCTTCTTTAAAGGGGCTTTCACTTGGGGATATTGCTACCATTGGTGATGAAGGCCTAATCGATATTGCTAATGGATGTCATCAGCTAGAGAAGCTGGACCTTTGCAAGTGCCCAAAAATTTCTGACAAGGCTTTGATTGCAATTGCAAAGAACTGCCCTAATTTGACCGAGTTATCCATAGAATCATGTCCTAAAATTGGTAATGAAGGTCTACAAGCTATTGGGCAGTTGTGCCCCAATCTGAGGTCCATTTCAATCAAGAACTGCGCCTGTGTTGGTGATCAGGGAATTGCAAGCCTGCTCTCTTCACGTTCTTTTGATTTGGTAAAGGTGAAGCTTCAGGGTCTGGCCATTTCTGACCTCTCTCTCGCTGTTATTGGACACTATGGGAAGGCAGTTACTGATCTTGTCCTCTCCTGCCTCCCAAATGTTGGTGAGAGGGGGTTCTGGGTCATGGGTAATGGTCATGGTCTGCAGAAGCTAAAGTCACTCACAATTGCATCCTGCCCCGGAGTTACAGATATTGGGCTTGAATCTGTGGCAAAGGGCTGTCCAAATCTCAAGCACTTCCACCTTCGTAAATGTGCGTTTCTATCAGACAATGGATTGTTATCATTTGCCAAAACTGCTCTATCACTTGAGAGCCTCCAATTGGAGGAGTGCCACAGGATCACCCAACTTGGTTTTTTTGGTGTTATTGACAGTAGTGCAAGATTGAAGGCTCTTGCCCTCGTAAGCTGCTTTGGATTCAAAGATCTGAATTTGAGATCGCCTCAGGTGTCTCCTTGCCAGTCGCTCCAGTCACTAACAATCTGTAACTGCCCTGGATTTGGTGAATCTACCTTGGCTGTGCTTGGAAAATTGTGCCCTCAGCTGCAGAATATTGAATTAAGTTGCCTCCAGGGGGTAACAGATGCTGGGTTGCTTCCACTGATTGAATGCTCTGAGGCTGGTCTGGTTAAGGTTAATCTTAGTGGTTGCATAAATCTGACTGACAAGGTGGTCTTATCAATGACCAATAAGCATGGTTGGACGCTTGAGACGCTAAACCTTGATGGCTGTAAAAGGATCAGTGATGCTAGCTTGATAGCAATTGCCAGAAATTGCCCATTGCTATCTGATCTTGACATTTCTAAGTGCGCAATCACTGATGCTGGAATTGCAGCCCTGGGTAGTGCTGAACAACTCAACTTGCAGGTTCTTTCTTTGGCAGGTTGCTCTTTGGTTTCAGATAGGAGCCTGTCTAGTTTGATGGAATTGGGCCAGACCCTTTTGGGATTAAATATCCAGCAATGCAAAGCAATCAGCAGCAGATCTGTTGACGTGCTTCTAGAACTTCTTTGGAGGTGTGACTTCCTCTTCTGAGCAGCACGACTTCATCTCACTTCAAAGTAGGACAGCCAGCTAATGCCACGAATTGGAACAGGCAGGATGTTTTTTGGACAACTTTTATGATCAGCGTTGCACAATAGTTTTTGGGTCCATTATCGGTGGGTCTTTAGTCATCCAGAGTCTCGGTTCCCTTTTTCCAGAGCATACAGTCACTTAATTTTTATGTTTTTGCGGGTTTCCTTCAATCGGAAATCTGTTCAAAGTTTTTGGCTCCTGTTCATGGTATGCCGTCTTTTTGAGTGACTGTAAACCTCTGTGAACATAGATGCCGAGTTCTGGAGTTAGGATTCTTTGTTAGTGGTGTTGGCACCCGATGGATTTAGCTTAGCTTTGCGTTGGTTTTGCCACCATGTGTGTTCTTAGTTCTGCTTTTTTAAGTCTTTTACCGCTACCAGTACCAGAGTCCGTCAGTCTGATGTTTTGCCAAATCTTTCACGTCTGTAAACTCTGTTGTGGACGTGATTGTTGGGGTCTCAGTTTTACTCAAAAGGCAGGCTCAAGTTAAAGAATCTATGGTCTTGTAAGCCTAGATGCAGTGTGTGGTTCTGAGTTATGATGATGCCTTGTGTTCTAGGGCTTTGGCCGTGGCAGCAAGTTATACAGGTCTGCCATGACAATCCTCCCTGTCATATGGGGAAGGATTGTTTTTTATTTCCCAAGCCCTTGTTTTTTAGGCCTCATTTTTCTGGAACTGTAAACTGCAACATCCGAGTCGTGTAATATACTGATGCCTGCCCTCTGTGATGTATGATGTATGTCATGTTATGAAAGTAATGAATAAAAATTTGCAATCTTCTTCTATGAGAATTTGAGTGAGATATGTTCTTGCTTACATGCCATTTCAACGATGATCTCATTGTTGGCTTGAAATTGAGCAAAATGTGTGATTGTGACCTGAGTGTTGATTCCGGCCAGAGGGATAATTGTGCGGCTAAATTCCACTAGTTGTGTGATATCACACGAGACCCGATGGCTATGAAACACACAAAATGTCATCAGCTGTTTTAATGACAAAATTGCCCTGCATTGAACAAACTCGGGAGCATTTGGAAAACCAAGTTGTTGAATGCTGACCTGTTTCCTTTGAAACGGAACTACCGAAAGATGGCTAGGTTCAGTAGGTTGGGTTGGATTACTATTTACTACTGTAAGACAATGTTTGCAGACGACGCAATGGCACTAGAACTTCACATGCCTCTGTCACGTAAAGTAAAGCTAATCTATTATTCGATGCCCCACGCCACTGGACTTGACATGTGAAGCTTCCCTTCGTGCTCAGAACTTAGAAGCCCCATTTACGTTTTGAACCCACCCGTTGATTTGGTCAAGATTTCGGTTTACACACAGTATTGTGAATCAATGTTCAAATTTTTGTTAGAAGAAATACTAGTTAACAGTGTCTTGAATAGAATTATTTCTAATAAAAAGATGACTTAGCCTAACCAAAAAAAAAATCAATTTTTCTAACAACTTGTAACTCGATTCCACGCAGGCTAACAGGTCGTAAAATACTAAAGCTTGGTTTGTCTGTATCCAAAGCTATTTCACAGATAAAATATTGAGTAAATTATGGAGGTTGGTGAGGGCAGAGACAATATGTCTGGGCGTGTGATTTTAGAGAAGCATTATTGAAGCAGCCCTACTATGCAAAAAGACTGGTGAATCATGTGAGCTTCACTGGGAAATATGTGGTGGTAAGAGGGGATACCTTTCATGAGGGGCAACCTTTCATATTCGTCAATCTTCTACTATGTCAATTATTATCACGGTCGAGACTTTTCACGCAGCTCAACAGTATGTGGTTTCAGAAACAGTGATGTTTGTGCAATCATACTTTGTCTTCTCTGCTTCCGTAATGATCCTCACAGCACTATGCTTCTTATTCCTCAATCATTTGATCCTAATCCTCTCTACAGAGGATTCTGGTTCTACATCGGATTCACTGTTGATTTCTTTCAAATTAACTTGAAAAGTCGTTTGAACTTGTACGAAATGAAAGGTGTCCTAATGCAGTCGATTTACAGGGAGGATGGTTTGAGACTTATGGGAAGGATTTGAAATGACTCTTCAATCCATTGAATACTTGAGAAATTTGAAAGATTCATCGAATGGGGAGGAGCAATAATGGGGTATGGTGGGGCCTTGTGTTGATTCCAGAGACAGGGTTCGAGGATGAAGAAACATTCGGATTGTGGACATGGCATTAGATTAGACGGCATTATCAAAGAAAGGAAGCCTTTACTTTTTCTAAAGGACGAAAAAACCCTTAAACAACTCCCCTGTTTGTTTCGACGCTGACCACAAATTGAGCCAGTGACAGTCTAGTGATATAAAAGCTCTTGTAGCTTGTAACTCATGTCATTACTATTTGGTCTTTTAACTTGGAAGGACCACAAAAAAAAAAAAAAAAGACAAATTGAAGATCCATCTTACCCAATTCTCTAGCTTACTCCATTAAGAATGAGGTTGAAGCTTGAATCTCACGAAAACTACCATATAACTCTCCGATGTGGCGGCTCTCAGGTCAGATATTATGCTAATAGTCCAAATTCTAGTGTCTATATTTGTATCTCTTGACTGATAATAGCAGATAGGAAGACATTAGGAATTTTTGCAAAAAGGGGTATGACAAAATTAAAAAAAGAAATAGCTATGACGAAATGAAAACGGACTCCATGAAAACCTGAAAATGATGCTTCAGCCGATTTTGTTTTTTACTCTGGTTTAAGCATAAAGGAAGAATTATAATAAAGTCTCACAAAAAAGAAATAATTATCAAAAAGTTTTAATAACAACCTTAACAATTTATAATAACAAGTCTTATAGTGAGAATGACAACATCTGATATTTATTTTTTAATTATTTTTTTTACTTGGGACTGCATTATAATTCTTCCAAGCATGGAACTCCTGATATACTTCCAGATACAAGTGGGCCCCACTCCACACAGGAAATTAAGGGCATTGCGTCCCCTAGACTAACAGCGTCGTTGGAATAAATGCATCGACGAGTTTCGATCAGAACTCAAAGGAGGTTTACGGTTTTTCGTTGCCCTTCATTTACTACTCCTTCGATTTTGGGGTCTTTATTGTCTTTGAATCCCAATGCCGCTTACCATAGTAGAACCCTTGAATCTTGCACAGCCAAAACAAAAAAAAAGAGGATACGAGTGCCACATTTGGTACGTACTAGGGAAGAAAAGAAAAGGAAAAAGAAACGGGCTGGACTTTAAAATTCAATGCCATCGTCTCCTTATCGATCCACTTCCCAGGTCAGGATTAGGAATGCATTAAAATGCTTGACGTAAATGCTTTTTTAACATCTATGTTTAAAGAGGACCATTTCTGTCCAAAATATGTAACGTAATGATCAATTAGCAATTGGGTGAATAAAAAAAAAAACCTTAATGCTACCAAAAAAAAAAAAAGAGTGAAATCTTAAAAGCAGAATAAGGTTTGTATGACGTAACGTAACTAATGATTTCAAGAAGGATTAATACAAATCTTAGTCCTTTAAGTTTATTTTCATTTTAGTTTTGATCCCTCAAGTTTTAAATTATAGATTTTCGTTTTTCAAATTTCTGTTTATTTAAAGTATTAATCTCTAAAATCTAATAAAAATTTAGACAATTTTACTCCTTAAGAGATCAAAACCTATAATTTGAAAATTAAGAGACTAAAACCAAAATCAAAATAAACTAAAAGACCAAAAATTATATTAACCCTTTCAAAAAAGTTCATAGATATTTATATATATATATATATATATATATATATATGTAATCAAGGTAAAATAAGGGGATACAAGTATATTTTACTCATCAATTTATAACGCTTTTAACATATAAAATTCCAAACTAATGGCATCTGATCAACAAATATTGACGAAAATAGATCACGCCGGTACTGGATATAAAATTCATATATACAAGGTGAAAGAAATAATTAGCTCTCCATATCCAAATCTTATTCATTATCCAATCTACCAGTGGAAATCGACCTGGAATTTAATGACAATAGCAAGGTAAGCAACGTTGTAAAGACAAAGTATATATGATCTGTAAGAGGGTGCCTTAAACACAAACAGCTTGTCTAACTGTTCAACAAAGCAAGGCCTGTAGCTTAAACCATCTATTCCCGAGCTTCCTCAAAACTTTCCCACATATACACTAAACAACACAGGCAATGGCTGCATGCTACAATAATGTATGCTACAATTGCTCGGAAAATAGTTACATTGTTGCAAGCATACTAATAAGGACAAAACCAGCAACCTTGAAGAGTAAGCACATTAAAGAAACAACGCTGCTGTATGGACAAGATGACATTACAAACCATATAATGCAAATCTTCAAGCCTTCACTGTCAAATATGTCAGCTATTTGCCTTAATATTCACGCGACGACTCCACAAGCTCTGAAAAGTTCAACACATGTTTATGTTCCTGCTGTTTGCTTAATGCTCTGCCGCGACTGGTTCCTGCACCAATGTGAGCTGAGGTTGCTCTTCAACCACAATGTCACCATTTACTTGAGGCTCTGTTTCAATTGGCTTGTCTGAGAGAGCTGCATTTTGATCTACATTCAGGGAAGTAGATTCACTTGTATTACATGACAAGGCACCATTCTCTTCATTGGCTGCATCCCCTTGACATTTCTCTTTCTCACCTGTGTTGGACAAGGTGGTATCTTTATTTGCTGTACTTGATGATGTGATCTTTTCGTCATTCAGTGCCTTGGATGAACTGACTGCAGTTGATGAACTGGTCTTGTCAGAAGGAAGTTTAGAGGGAAGAGATCTTCGTTGCGGCTTCTTTGGATGGGCATGAGTAATTTTCTTGGTGGGGTTACTCTTAGACACTTTCTCATCCAGACTTAGACGACCCAATCGAGCACTGCTGCTAGGACTTCCATCTAACTCTGATCCTGCTGAGCTCTTCCTTCGTCCAAGCTTTGGAGATTTTGCTCTTGTAGTTGGTATCTACATTAGTAATGTCCATGGGCTAAAATTTTTTATTTCAAATGACAAAGCCAAAAAGAAATAAAAAGGTCTGTGGTTCAGATAACAGGCAGAAGCTCTCAAACAGGATGTTGTTTTGTGCATGATGACCTACATCTCTAAAGACTCATGACGCTAACGCTGCAATATAATGAAATCCGCACTGACTTATCATTACTAATACGCGAGACCACAATCAGGTAACATGGATATGGCTCATTTATGAAGTGTCTCATGTTTCGTAGACCCGGCTAAGTCTAGATAGCAGCAAGGATCATGACTATCTTGCAGTTTTAAAAATGGAACAGACAAATTTAGGTTGCAATAAAGTAGACACAGAAAGAGCTTGTGCAACTGCCAGATGATATTTGAGTCAACAAACAGAAAGCTTGTAAGCATGGTTCAGTTCCATTAATCAGAACTTAAACAAAACAGCTTAACATGAAATATGTAACTCACAAAATCACAATACAATTGTCTTCCTTATAAAGATTGATGAAAGCAACAAACTGAAACAGATGAGGTAATACAACTGATCGATAGTCCTAATTTGTAAAACGTGAGTGTCGAATTCACAAATTGAGATTAACATTAATGAACTTTAATACCCAGAATTTTTAAATTATCATATGCATAAAACACTGTATGGCAACCTCAAAGTTGCTCCAGCAACCTCAGAAAATACAGCTTTCCATAACAAAGACATTATTACATGGCAACCTCCACTTTATAATTTAGAACAGTTTCATCCATCATCATCTCTATGATATCTAAATTTTTTGGTTGTCAACTAAATTAAATTTTATAAGCATCGCCATAAAATCCACGCACCGAGCAGTCAATAAAAGTACTGTGTAAATTTTCCAAGAAGCCAATAGATAAAATGACGATCACAGGGTATGAAATAGCAAGACATATTGACTTAGGCAGATGCTAATTCATGGGAACAAATGGTACATTGAGAAGAAAGCTTCCACCACCAAAGAAGACTCTTTTGAGTTTTGACTAATTATAAGATATTCTTGTATCCTCTGACTATTCTCTGAAGCTATATGCAATGCAGATACGTTTATATCTGTGCAGATGTGATTCACACAGTAGCACAAACATACAAATACATGCTAAACTGCATCGCATACAGCATGAAAGCAAATAACAACTTGTCTCCCCCTGCACCAGTATGTGCACACGCAGAGACAGAGAGAAACCCACCTTCTTTAACCCCACTTTTGGAGGAGGTTCCTGGTAAAAGCTCGGCATGGGAGTCGCTTTAAATCCTAGACTCTTCCTAAGCATCTTAATTTCAGCTTCTTGGGTCTCCTGTAGAAGAGTTGTGCAATTCACGTGATTAAGGGACCATATACCAGTTGCATTCCAACCTAAAATATCAAATATTATCACCTTGGTTTTTGCTTGTAAGTTACTCTTCTCCACTTCCTTTGCATGAATCTTTTCCTCAAGCTTAGAGTAGAACTGTCCGGCAAAATATGAATTCTATTTGAAACTACAAACTTATTGCAAAGTAAATCTGCAACGTAAATAATAGGAGAAAAGTGGAATCTACCTCTTTTCTTCTCTCAGCCCGTTCATCACACCTGAAACTAAATCCATACTTTGGAAGCATGCCCACCTTGGGAGGTTTAGCATCTTCTGCAGTGCTATTTCTAGAGAATGGATTAAGGATAAGCAATAACCGTACATGTCATCATACACAAAAGAAACTTACTATATATATAAATACAAATAAAGACCTTGAATGCTTCCCCTTAAACTTACTACAAAGAAAAGGATACGAAGGAGATTGTGCTTCTCCTTGAACTTTATCAACAGTTCCTTTCTTCAATGCTTCTGGTTTTTCATTCTCTCTGTATCCAATAAATCATGATCACGAGTAGAATCAATTCTTTATATCAAAATTTTCTTTCCTCAGAGTAATTATACACAAATATAAATGCAAGGAACATACGTGGGTGAACCTGAGGATGCTGCATTGGACTTCTCAGAGTGCTAAGACAAACAAGGTGCAAAAAACTATTAGGGATTGCCAAGATCATATCGTTTTAACAACCAAAAAAAAAAAATTAAAAGATAAAAGAAGGAGAAAGAAAGGGAGGCATATAATGAGTGCTTCAACATAGATTAGGTGAAGCAGGTGAAGATGACGACAACTAGTACCTTGGAAATTTGAGTCTTGCGGTCATTGAATGATCTGCCTTTAATAGTCTGCCGAGGGTTCAAAGTTAGAGAGCCATTTAACACAGAGGGTTTAGCCTCTTCATCCCTTCTATCCTTACTTTTCTTCAGCCCACTTGTATGAACACCTTTAGGATTAGCAGGTTTCACAGCCTTGGTGTTGACAGGACCCTTTGATGTTCTTAATTGCTCTGATTGATCTGTAATTTTCAACTGCTCTTGCTAGAAGACAAACACATAGATGATAAATGAGATTTGGGGAGGGGGGACAAAAAAGAAGTAAAATATCTTAATGAAATCAACTCAACGGGAAAAAAAAGTCACTTGCCTTAGTAATGGCCACATTGTTGCTGGCTGTGCTGTCATTTGATTCTTCTTTACTTTCTGCGACAGATGTATCGGTTGCAGTGTTATCCAATAGACCATGATTTCCTAAATTACCGTTTTGAGCTACAGTTTCTGTAATTTCAGCCACACTGGGGTCAGCATCTTTTGAAACAACACCATGCTTTCCAGACTCTGCAAGTTCTTCATGAAGACCATTTTGATGGACTGCTTCAAGTCCACCACCGGGTGAAAGTTTACTTAAATCCATCATTCACAATAACCTGCAAGTTACATACAGACAACGAACTGAAACTTAGAGATGATTCAAGACAAGAAAACCACAGCAATAGAACTCATATTTTCGCAGAAAAAGTTTCACCACTCGTATGGCGTTTATCTAGAAGATTTATCTTGGCTTTCTGAGCCAGGATGGTTTTAAAAGTTAAGTAGACTAGTCTTTCAAATTTGCATACATTTTATACTTATCGTTTCCACATTGAATTTTGCAGTAAAACACAAAAAAACAAAAACAAAATGCCATTTTCCAGAAAAGAGACTCATAAGCCTTCAGGTCTAGTGGCTACTTACCCACTAAAAGGAGAACGATAGACGCGAGATCACAGAATAATAGTCCTGTCATGCGGGAGTATAATAGCATAAGTTATTTACAGGATAATAAGGGAGAAAGAAATACGGCACAACTATCATAATTTAGATATTTCAATAAACAATGAGGATAAAAAGCCGGCGTTTCAAGGGCATGGAAATTAATCAGTAGAGGACATAACGAATTGAATGAAAAGATTGATCGAATCTCAGCTTGGTTGCCAGAGGCAAAACGAAAGATGAATTAAGCTAGCGGGAAACTAGTAAGAGGGAGAAAGAGAAGTCTAACAGGCTTCAATTGACAGAGAACTAATGTATAGCCCTGAATAAACTAGCATGTGCGGCATTTTTACAGGAATCAGATGAAGAACGAGTAGTCAAGTAAGCAAATCAATAGAAACACTCGGATATCCACTAATAGTGTCAACAGATGATGACTACAAGTCTACAGAGAAGCAATTTGGGAAATATACATAACAACTAAATCGACTAAAATCAAGTCGAGAACTTCTTATAACTGGAATGCATTAAAAGAAGAAAAGGGCTTTCTTCCATATTTGTCTGTTGCAAAAAGTTCGCCCACAAACAGAACAGTTGACAAGTGAAATCCCACAGTCCTTGCTAGTGCTACCTCGTAAAAGAGAACAACAGTCAAAATGCCATGAAACCGCGAATAGCTCTGATACTTGGTCTAAACCAGGGATTTGCGGAGGACCCAAGAGATCTGGCCGAGAAAGCAAGGCAAAACCGGCAATGGGGATGGATTTGACGATCAGAGGATCCGAGCCTGAAAGATCCGAAAGATTCGAACTGAGTAAGTGCGCATGATTCAGGAGATTTATTTATGATTTTTTTTTTTTTGCTGTGATCGGATTTTGGAATTCAAAAATGAAGCGGTGGCGGAAGAGGGGGTTAGAGGAGATTTAAAGCAGGAGGCTCCAAATCCAATTTGGGGATGACTGAAGTCGCTGTCCGCTAATGGAGAAGAGTCAGTGAGAGAGAAGAGTGATAATATACGGTTACACAGAACTGTACAGTTATTGCACATACGGTTTTCACGAAAAATACGCTCCCCACTACGTAACTTGCAACTAACAGTCTGTACCTGTCTGTGCCTTTTTTAAAACTAATTTATAATTATAATCATAATTACAATGTAATAATAAAAAATTAAAATAAAATTTACTTTTCGTTTTTAATAAAATGCTGCAATCATTCTTTATCTTTTGATGCAAAGCTTGACAACATAGTCGGGATCCCGCAATCTTTTCATGCGCGCGTAGCCGCATATACATATACATGCATATACACACACATTTAGAGAGCTAACAAGCAATAAACATAATCTGTAAGTTTTTTTTTCGTTCAGCTTAAAGTGTACTGCTGGTAGTTACTAATCGCCTCGATCATAAGTTCATGAAGGGAGTTTAGTGCTGGCTGTAAGAATGTTTTAATGCTGAAAAATGATTAAACTAAATACTTATATTCTAAAAGGTTAAGGTATAATTTTTTAAACCTAATCTTATTTTTTAGGTGTAATTTTGACTATGATCTTTTTTTCAGTGTAAATTTGCCCCCTATGATCAAAATTGCACCAAAAAATCAGAAGCAAAATTGCACCCGAGAAAAAAAAAATCAGAAATAAAATTATATCTGAGAAATAAGATCATGAACAAAATTGCATTGTTAAAAGATTAGAGGTAAAATTACACCTGAGAAATAAGATCAGGGTCAAAATTGCACCTTAATCCTGTTCTAAAAATGATGTTAAACTTCCTTCAAGCTTATCTTAGTTGAAGATGGTTTGAGATGCACACATACACGTGACATTGAAGTTGTTTGCTTAAATAATTTAATCGTTTTGATGATTATGTTGAGACTTAAATTATAATACGATTTCTTACATTAAAATAACGCTTGAAGTTAAAATATGCATAAAAATGTTGTAAGGGTTGAGCATATATTTTGAAGTTTAAAAATCAAATATATTCAAACGATCTTCAAGAGTCAAGGATTAAGGTAATTTATTTAATTAATAATTAATTTAGTAATTAATGTCACTAATAGTAATACTAGTAGTTAATAATGAATGAATTATTGAAGATGACAAATCAACCAATAAAGATATGGCGTGGAAGCATGGGACGTGTCATTCGTAGACCCCAACACATCATTCCTATTTTTCCATCTGCTTCTATAATTACCGTCTTGATAAGATAATTAATTGTTGACCTTTAATTAGATAATTAATCACATTTGCATTTAAAATAAGCATCTCTAATGACGTGGAAATATCAGATTCAAAGTAAATTAATTATTTCCTTTCCTTTATTGATTTCTAGTTTGCCAGATCGATCAATCATGTTAGTTTTATTTGTATAGTTATTGTCATCATTTTTTGTTTAGAAAAATTAATACGTAATACTCCTCCGGTCCTTATTATAAGACCCAATTTGACTTTTTATTTGGTCCTAATTATAAGACCCAATCCATTTTTTCTCTTATATTTATGCATTTTTTTTCCAAGATAACCATTCTAATAATGATAGTTTTAGCCAATATACTTAATTAGCAAGGATATTTTAGGAATAACAACACTTATTTATTATAAATAACCAACTTAAATTACTTCCTTAATCTCCTCAAATAAGTCAATTGGGTCTTATAATTAGGACCGGAGGAGTATAATTTAAATTTGATTAGAATGGTGCAATAGAAGTTTAGGCGAGTCAATTAACTTATAAATGCTCTTAGCCCTTTATTGGGAGGTTAGATCACAACAAGTAACGAGTCATGTCAAAAAGGGTTGGTAACAATTAATCAAAATGTAATAATCCAAATAAAAACAAGTAAACAATTAATTAATCAATCCATATTGGTAATTATGTTGGAGGACGATAACTCAAGTGATTACCGTTCTTTTAAGTATGCTCCTTACTCTGGCAATCATTCAAAATTTTATCATAAAAATTATTTTTTATTAATTAATAAGACAGACGCATCAACATATAAACATATTGGAAATAATCGTCTTATTCATGAGCTAATTTCGAAAGCATATGCAATATGCAAAAAAAAAAAAAAATCTTTAGTTATTCATAAAATGCATATGCAGGATGCACGCATGCAAGTAATGAAATGCTAGAATGCCAGTCAATAAATATTTTAATAGAATTTATAAATTAAGATGTTGTAAAATATTAAATCATACAAAACTGTTATTAAATTTTTACCGAAAAATTAGCAACAGGAACACAAAAACTTCATTTGAATTTATTATTGTATTAATGGGGACATAATTGTCAATTTTTGTTAATTTATATATCATGTATGTGTGTGCTGCTGATATAATTGAAGCAACCTTTTTGTGTAGGGGACAAATGAAATGAAAAGAAAGCTAAGATGGTGGCGTCTATAATTCAAAAGTAAATTAAGGGTCTCAGGAAATTAAAGTTAGAGAACCTTTACAACTCAATTAAGATTAAGATAAAAGCTGCATTTAATTAGGCCCTTTTGGTACAAGCTCCTGAATTGATGTATAATCATGTACTCCAGTAATTCATTTTTCATACAGATCCCTAAATTGTTTCTTAAAGTAGTAATTATTATTATTAATTTATCGATAATTTATGTTTAATTTTTAAATACTGGACTTCGTTTGAAAAATAATTCTTATGAAGGAAAGTAACATTTTACTTTAACAAGGTCATTTAAAGTCGACTTATATGTTTATGAGAACCATTCGTGGATCCGAATCTGGAAGGAAAAATATTAAGTGTGAATTTATCATGTCTCCTTTTTTTTTTTTCACAAAAACAAATGTAATATATTTTTTTAAAAAAAATCATGGTTGAAGCGTGTTGTTTCAAGCCTATAATGATTAAAAACGCACCTTAGCGGGAGAGAGCAAGTAAACGGGTCATTATCTTTTAAATGTGGGGTGGTGAGTTAGGTGGTAAGGCATCGCCATTTAATTTAATCAAACTCTTTCTCTTGGCTTAATCAACTGTAAGACCAGTAATGACAACACATTTATGCTTTTAATCCAAGTTTTTGCCCGAAGATCATATCTGAAATTTCTATATAAAACTACAATTTTTAAAATAGAAATAAAAGTGAATATTCATTATTTCTAGGTTTTTCATTTTGGAAAAATCTCTAAAAAAATGACTATTAAATTTCAAATTTTTAAATCAGGAATTACTACAAAAATATGTTATCATTTACTTTTTGAATGTAGTTATTTTCCTTACGAGTGTGGTAACTGATACTAATTTAGAATTTTAAAATTCAACAATTATTTTTTTGAGATTTTTCCTTTCATTTTCCCTTTATTTAAAAATGTTTAAGATATTCCAGGAAAAAATATTTTTTTAACATATTTCAAGAATTTTGTCTAGCCACTCCACATGCCCTCAGTTACCATAATCATCCCGCTATAAATACTCCGTATAAATAGAATAAAACTAGCGTCAAGTAAATTAGGTTAATTATTTCTGCCAATTCCACCCTTAAGCTACCATTGGTTTTGGAGCAAAAAATCAAGGGCTGATGATTGATTTCAGATCATGAGTTTTTCTTCTCTGAACACTCCATATAATTTATGGATGTCTATATATTGTAAGTTTGAACTCTTTATGAAGAATATAATAAGTGCGTAAGATATGGCCAACAAAAAATTAATAATTAAAAGTATCATATCTTTATCCTATAATGAAGATAAAATAAGACTTTTAGATTTTGTTGCTGACAAACTAATCCGCATAAAAACAAACATAAACGCTGCTATGAGAAAACAAAAGACAGGCATGACAACGAGTGAAGGTAAGATTAGGGGGAAACACAAACTGAGGCGCGTGCATTGAAGAAGTGAGTGTTTACGGATAAGCATCATTTATTCTGCAATGTAATCATCATCTCTCAGCCCGACCACATACACATACACTTTTTTTATCCTATTTATGACTAAATACTCTCGCTATGTTTTATATAGACTAAAAAAAAATCTTAAATTCCGTTAACTCTAATTTGAAATTCAATAACTTTCTAATTTTATCTTTATTTAATATACATTATACATCATATAAACAAAGTTAATACAATAATGAATGAATAGTAAATTTATACATTTATATAAAAAAAATTTCTCAGTACCCTATAAATAAGATAATTTTTTTTTTCTCTGCCTTATAAATAAAACTAGAAAAGTGTACAAGAAGATTGTTCAAATGCTTTTGTTGTTTTATTTGTGTCATTTGTTTCATGCGGTACCGATAAAGACGGCCTCCGGCAATTGTCTTTGTCCCCAACAACATTCCACTTTCACTAATATATGAGCTGGTCCTCCATCCTGCATATTAGATACCTCTCTATTTTTCTGCCGCCCCGGACGCTGCTCCACCGGATTACAATATGACGACGAATCCTAGCTAGTATTTCTCAAATTCAATCTTCTATACGTATAAAATATGCTGATTCCTTATATTGTGCTCAGATAGATGAAGATTCTAAAAAGAAAGTTATAACATCATGTATTGGTCATGTTATCCATTTGCGTGTTGTCTAGTCATGTAAGAGTAAACCTGAGTCGTGGGAGAATTATCAATTTCATATTTATGATATTTATGAAGGGCTTTAGAAATTAGGTTACTGTTAATTCCGTGGGTTTGTGGGCATTTGTGTGCCCGTTGAATCAATCATAATAGGAAAAGGAACAGCGCAACCATAGGCATGTCCCACTTCTTTTATAAAAGGATAACGATGATCTATATATAAGATTCTTGATAATATCCTTAGGGTGTTCCAATTTTCAAATTTAAGACTTTCAATTTGCAAAGTGTGGAGCTATGTCTATCACTTACTTTATTAAAACGAACTAAGATGCCAGCCAAACAGAAAGACACAAGATTTTAGCCTTTTTAATTAGGGCTCAATTGGCTTTGTCCCACAAACGCAGAATTTCGTCCACATGTCGTTGTTCGGGACCTTCCACACCATCTAAAATGGGTTTCATATTGGGGTTTCTCATCTATGTCACCTCTCTCTCTCTCTCTCTCTCTCTCTAGTCTCTATCTCGCTGTCCTTGAACGGATTCGATTGTGGATCCTGATCATCTCAACCGGCAGGTTGATTTGATACAAACACTCTGGTGGGTCATCTTTTACGGCCTCAACCATGCACCATTATACAATTATCTAGTGTATCAATTTTATAATACGCCATAATCAACGTGATCGTACTGTGCATGAGAAACAAGGGTCTACATTTTTGTCTCCCATCAATTGTTTTGTAACTTAATGACACGTAAAAGTTTCCGACTTTGATTCTGCTTGTAACCTTAAGTGACAGTTCGTGCCTTTAATACTGCTCACAACCTTAAACTGTTGGTGCGTATTTTTCTACTTTAATAATAATTCGTCTTTCATCTTGCCATAATATGACTTTTACAACTACGTACATACTTGAGGCTCTGCGTATACATACATGGACTGATTCATACTTACAAGTCAAGCCTATGCTATTTACTTATGTTATTCTAACAGTCAAACATCAAACTGTCACGTCGTCGTGTTATGCTTGAAGTGGTGAAGTTGTGAAATACGAGGTAATTGGATGCAACAATGAGTTTAATACCCGTAAACGGTCATTCTCTATTTTTCTCATTTTAACATAGTTCAATTAACACAGAACTTTAGCTAAAATTGACATGTTACGTTTTAAGGTAGATAAGTGGGTTAGTTCCTGTGAAAAGGATGGAGCCTTTCTTTTAAGTCGAAGCTCAAAAGTTGATGGCAAATAAATTTAAGCCCCAAGGAGGAAAAGTTCAATTGCACCTAACTTTCCTTTTGAAACTGAACACAAGAGAAGTTGGTTGTTCACAAGAGACAGGTGGATACTTTGCTTCTGCGATGTAAAGCTTAGCCTTTTTATCATGTATGTGGATATTTTTAGAAAAGAGGAAACTGAACCAGGCTCATTGAGGGATCGCTTAAGGAGCAACGAGTTTGCGAAGGCATCAATTTTATCCAACCAAACCCATTCACGTCTCTTCACAATATTGAACCCCAAAAAATGTATGCTCACTGTGCTTTCTTCCAATCTTCATATTCTCTTTTTTTTTAATCTCTCGTAGTTATTCAGCGAATCAGTTGAATAGGCCATCGTATGAGCATTTGAACGGGGTCGAGTTACGAGTTTGGCCCCCAAAAAAAAAAAAGATAAATAAAAACTCATAGGTGATGTGCTGACATCTTTTCACCAAAATATGAAAACTCCTAAGTTGGACAACAATTAAACCTTGCAACAGTGTGGGCTCTGGACAAAGTTTCAAATTTAATCCTTAGCCTCAAGTCTCAACCTGGGTCATAGATTCTCTTGCTAGCAAATCATTCAAATTTCATATTCAACCTGTTTTAAATCTCTGGAATTCGGACTCTTGGCTTGTGTTTGGATGAGTTTATATTCTCATGATATGTTACAGATATGAATCAAGTTGCTTTCACCATGTAATGCTGGTAAAAATCTGAACATGATACCTAATAACTATATATCCCTCAAGGAACTCAGCAAAATTTACAATATAGATATCTAACTATGACACTGGTACCAAATAATTTGTCATCTTGGTCCTGAAAGCCGGACTGCAGAGGTATAAGAATCTTTATTGGGGTTTGATGGTTCTACTTCTTCTCGGTTGGGCTGAAACAGAGATGAGTAAAGGCGGAAACCCAATAGCGAACTTGTTGGAGGCTCAGGAACAGCACAGAGACCCTCAAGCATTTGAACAACGTTGGACATGTAAGGCCTCCGAGACATGTCTTCCTGTATACACCAAAATGAAACTTTAACAGCATTACGAAGTCTTTCATCGTTTTCATCCATTTCCAACTTTGAATCAACAATGTCTCTCAGCTTCCCTTCTTCCAACATCTTAAAAGCAAAAGATGGGAAGTGAGATTTCTCTGAAGTTTCATTCGGATCGTAATTCTTCCTTCCTCCAATGATCTCTAGCAACAACATCCCGTAGCTATAAACATCACTTTTCTCTGATATAGCAGTGTTTGTGATCCATTCTGGTGCGAGATATCCCCTGGTTCCCCTAAGAGTTGTGAAAACATGGCTTTGTTCACGAGTCATTAGCTTGGCCAAACCGAAGTCTGAAACTTTAGCAAGGAATTTGTCATCAAGAAGCACATTCTCTGGTTTGATGTCACAATGTACAATCTTGGAATCACAATCTTCATGGAGGTAAGCTAGTCCTTTTGCTGTTCCTAGTGCTATGTTAAACCTGGTATTCCAATCTAACATGAACTCTCCTTCGTTTTTCTTGAATAGCCATCGGTCCAATGAACCATTTGCCATATATTCATAAGCAAGAAGCTTATGAGATCCTTCTGCGCAAAACCCTTTAAGCCTGACCAGATGATGATGATGGATGCTCCCAATGATGCCAACTTCTGCTCTAAACTCTTTCTTTCCTTGCCCAATGGTTTCCAATCTCTTCACAGCTACATGAATCCCATCAGGCAGAACCCCTTTATAAACTGAACCAAAACCCCCTTGTCCCAGCTTCACTGAGAAATTACGTGTTGCTATTTCAAGATCTTTATAGCTGAAACGAGTTGGCCCGCCAGTTAAATTCTCCAAGAAAATGTCTTCTGAATTCTCCCCAGAAGAATCATCCAATTTTGGCTTTCTTCTGTAATATCGAAATCCCACATAAGCGACCACCAATATTAAAATCAATGTAGATAAAACAACGAGCACAGCAATTATGGTGTGATTATTGCTCCTTTCATTACTACCTCTGCCTCCAGAAGCCGAGACCTTAATGTAAGAAACAAACCCAGAATTTTCATCCGAAGTCTCGAAGCTTCCTATGCTATCTAACAGAAAACAGTTCCTTGAACTGTTATGGAAGAACATAGCAAGGCACGAGCAATTACGAAGGCAAGAATTTTTGCAACCATTCAAATCAGTTCTTGACGAGGGCGGAAAGAAATCAAGCGCAAAGTAATGGATTCCATAGTCAGCTTTCACGAGCTCTACAGAACTTTTAGAGTTATTACAAGAAGAGACAATATTCCTAGGTTGGCAATCCGAACGAGAGCTAAGAACAGAAGGACAGCGACAATTGTTATTACCTGTACATATGTAATATGGACCACAAGGTTGTGGTGTACTACAAGAGTTTTGTGGAATTCTAATTGGAGAAACTCGAGCACTTTGACGTCCTAAAGCAGAGAAAGTGAGAAAACCTTTATTTCCCAAAACAGCAGCCCAAGTGGCATTTGTCTCTGAATCTTCAGAAAAAATAAATTGCCATAACAAGGACTTGTTTTTATCATAGAACCTCCAGGAATTTTCACTCAGTGATGCTGAAGCTACAAGACCACCGTTTTTATCAATGGTCTTGCGGTTATCCTTCTGCAAGGACCAGTAAATCTGAGGAGCTGGGAAATCAGCAGAAAGAATGACGTCCCCAGATTTGATCTCAAGAACATAGGTCAAGTTATCATTAGGTGAAGGCTCACTGATAAGTTTCATTCCTTCTGAGAAGTCCTGACTTGGCAACAAGGTATCTGTTGGGTAGCTATAACTCTGCCAAACAACGTTTCCATTGTTCCCAAGCAAAACTAGATTTCCTGTATCCAACAATTCCATTGATGAGACCCCTTTGTCACTAGTATTTGTAGACCAAACCATGGATCTTTCCTTCTGTAAGAAGGCGTTACCATTTTCATCAAACACAAAGTTGTCAGATTCTGAAACAGGACTTCCTCTATTTGCAGTCCAAACCACTGTTTCAGTGGCCTTGTGGACGATTCCTACGAGAAACGATGAGGTACCATTTGTTGTGGAGATGAAGCCAAAGACGAATTCTCCATTGTTTGACTCGAGAAACTTTCCATCATTGTCTATGTATATCATGTGAGTGCCTTGAAACCCTGGAGAGATCTTGCCTGCATGTAGAATCGCCCCCAAGAAGACTTCAGACAAAAGGGAAATAGACAACACCGAAATGAAGGGGGCAATTGCGTGAAACAAAGGCCAAGGCTTTTTTTCCATGTTGCTCCAAGAATGTTACTATAGGGAAGAACTGGATATAATGAAGAAAGAAGAAGTTTTTGAAACTCAGAGGCTCATATTGAGAACTAGTAAGCAATCTGACTTGCTGTTGCAGAAGTCAGACGAAGAAGAAGAAGGAAGAGCAACTTGAGAAGAAGCCGACAAAACAGACAATAAATTCTCTTAATATTTGATCATGGGAGTCCAAAGGAGAGCACAAGTTGCAAAAGTGAGGGACGTGTGGAAGTCAAAATTAAAAACCATAACTAGGGGAACCACGGATTTGCCAACGCGTGCCAATTATGCAGCAGGATAAAAATGAGCATGTGACACAGAACAAGTGGGATTTAAAGACGAGGCTCGTTGACTGTTTCCATGAATCTATTATGGGGCGGTTCTAAAACCATAGGAAAATCCAAGATCATTCTGTTGTGGCCTTTGTGGGTTGACAATACAGATCCATTTCAGACTTTGTGAGAGTTAGTCTTGAATATTACAAGTAGTAATGAATATGCATTAATGGTTAGTTTCAGCTTTCAAGTTTTTCAACGGTTTCCTCACAACAATTAATGGCTCTATTTGACAACTTAGAAAGCCTTATTTGCTAGTATATCTTTGAACTGCTGACAAATTATGACCCCTTCGAAAAACTCTTGCGTGATGCCTTACATGTGCCACGATAAGATTCAAACTTAACCCATACATAAGTATCAAATCTTGAACTTTACGTAGCATTCCAAGGTATTGAAATGATCAATTCCAAAATTTCATTTAACCGTTCCCGTTAGGATTCCAATGGAGATTTGGACACCAGAAGCGTACTTTGGCTCCTACAGCAATTATTTTGACTCAGTGAATTGTTTATGCCTTGATGGTGTCCACGAGACCGAAAGGAAAATTCACCAATCTAGAGAGATTGTAAAGTCAAAATGATGCTAGTTTTATAAGGTTCGGTGGAGGATTACTCCGCTTTAGTGGTCATCGTACATCGTTCAAAATCTCTGCTGGATCTTCAATTTTCAAAAGTTTTTTTTTTATCAGCATTATTGGAATATCAGTCAAGGAATCATCAATACATTAACTATAAATTTAATTCACGTGCAAGACTTTTATTTAATTAACGTTTTCTTTTTAATGTTATGTTAAGAGGATTTCAACTTCAACTTCATATTCACACTCACTTTTGTTGTTTGATGTCAGGTCTCAAGTGGCTTTATATATGTGTGTGTAGATACTACTACACCAAACAATCCAGGCCACACATATAAGTTGCCTCTTGACATATTACCAATATCTGTATGATATCCTGTATGATATCCTGTGGTGGTCATTCTCCTAGTTATTTAAAGAGAAAAATTTAAAAAGATATCCAATAAGGTCTTATAATTAGGACCAGAGATAGTACTAAATTCAATATGAGATTTCGTAACAACATTTTAATAAATTTTGAGAACACTAAACTTATAAATAACGATACATTTTAAGGAAAAAAATTCTTTTTTTGAAATTTAGTTATCTTAAAATTCTTTTTGTAGAATTGTTTCTTATTATTTAGATTCTAGAACTAGAAAAGATGAGGTATTTTATCAAGGTTAAAAAAAAAAGATGAGGTATTTTACAAACGTTAAAATATATGTGCGCATGTGTACATCTTGCAAATGTCTTTCAAGAGTCGAGGCCTCACCTACAGATGGGCCTCCAAGGGTTTTCTCATTTACCAACCAGCAATCCGAACCAATAAAGACAGTCGCTTCCAAACAACATAAAAGAAAGGGAATATTTGGGTTTTTTTTTTTTTTTGGGGTTTCACAAGGAAATGACATTAAACCCATGAATCCATTATTCGCCTAGTAATATGTTGTTGACCTTCTAAAACGGAAAACAAGTGAAGAAGAAGCGGGGTAGATGTGATGAGGTGGTGCGTGGACCCCACAAGCGTCCGATCAAGGGTGCCATTTGAGTTGTTGACCTTTCAAAACCTGTCAGCTGAGCTGTACCATAACCCCCCATTCTTTGAAACTTGAATTCCCTTCTTATTTCCCAATTGCCAAACACATCAAACTTCCAGTTCACCTAAGCTGCACAAGTAGTTGATTGCCCAACTTCCACTTGCCACGGGCCCACCGCACTAATAGTTACAGGGCTATTAGAAATACTAAATATAAATATAAGAGTTAGTTAAAAATTTAATTTGGTCATAAATATAATATTTTAATTTAATTTATTTTTTATTTATTTTTTATTTTCAAAGTATTACTTTGGTTTCTTAATATAAGAGCTTGTTTGATTTTTACTTTGGTTCTAAATATAAAATCTCAATCTATTATGTTTCTCATATTTATCTGTTTTTTTAGGTAGTCCTTACATTAATGATAGTTTAAACCAAATACACTTGATTAGCAAAAATATTTTAGAAAAATAACACCTATTTATTACAAATAATTAACTTAACTAGTTTTCTTAATATGCTCAAAATAGTCAACTTGTTATTATATTAAGGACCGGAAGTAGTAGTTCTCATAGTAATTTCATATGTTACGGGTTTTTATTTTAATGCACATAATTAACAAGAATATTTTTAAAAAGACAATACTCATTTACTACGAATAACTAATTTAATTAACTTTTTTTATATTTGTAAATTAAATATATTTAACTCTTACAACGGAATGGAGGTATTTGACGGGAAAACACTGGGCATGCCGAAGCCAGACTGGAAGTGAAGGTGTATGTCTCACATTTTTATTCCGCAAACAAAGAAGCATTGAAAAAGTGAGTTGGCAAAAAAAGATCTTATGGGTAATTTATTCATTTAAAAGGAAAAAAAAAAAAGAGCCGGACATGAAGTACGGAACTAGTGTGAGATGATATACCCATTTTGGAGCCTACAGCGGAAAACAAGCAGGTCCCATATAGATATGCCAAAACCATGAGTTGCTGTGAAACCTGTGGAGGCAGCGCAGGATAAAGCTGTGCGCTCAATAAATGACGAGAACGATCTTCTGCTTCAAATATCTGACTTCTCTACTCCTCTCAGATTCCTTTCGGTTCCTCCGTGTTTCTAACTGCCTGCCATCCATGCCATCGTTCTCTCAATGGTAAATTATTTTTGGTTCCATTCGCTGTGTTTGTCTGGGTTCGATTAGCGTTGAGGGATCTTTTATTTTTTTATTTTTTGATGGGACGCATTGAAGGATTTTGACCACTAATTTGGACAAAATAATTTAGGGGAAAAAATGACAGTTCAATTTTAAAATATATCAATTTAATAATAGTTAGATTCCAACAAATTTTTTTTAAAACAAATAAATTATAAATATCGACTCAATAGGTCCAACGTGTTCCCCCCTCCCACCCCCAAAAAAATAATTCTTCTAGAAAGTAAATACGCAGTTATCCCTTAATTCAACCCCGCGACTGCCCGCTGGATGGCGGACTCCATCATTATTCTTTGATTTGGTCAACGCCATTATGCTTCCACCGCCCTTGCTTTTTTATACGTTCAACCATGACTTTATGTAGCGCGATCACCACTTTGACAGCAGGTTTACACCACGAATTCAATTTCCCTTTCCAAACAAATGGACCCCTTTTTGTTGGTAAACAGCAAAGAACAGCTCATACCCTCCCCGTCTTCCCAACTGAAATTTGGAGAAATATTTGACCCGTCCTACCCCCACTCATTCATATCTCACGCATACCCCCATCAACAAGAATTTCACATCAGAAATATATCTAACTAAAGTATCCCATACAATGTGACGATCGCCCTGATATTTTCCCCCTCACAATTTATAACATGCAAGGCAAAAGCCCAAAACACTAAGCATGATTTAATTCATATATTTTCTGTGTCCCTCCGTTAAATTTTTAATAAATTGATGATATGAAAATAAATTATTGATGTGTGCCACTGCATTATGTGACCAAACAAAATATGGTTAGCTCCAAATAGTGCATACCAACGCGATTAGAAAACCCAAACATCCACCAGAAATAGACGCATCCTCTCTCAAGCTCTATCCACTGAATGGCACAAGATATCTTTACTTGCGCTATCTACATACATGGAAGAAGCCAATCATGAGCAGTGCGCAGTTCCGAATAATGGGCGCCTATAGTTTATCTCCCACAATTAGAAATGGCATTAGGCATCCCACTCAATCAACAGCAACTGTTAAGTAAAATTTACAGTAGCCAAGTTTGTCTCTGAAGAGCAAGAAGCATTAAGTACAAAACCGAGAAGAAAATTCTACAATTATAAAACACAGAGACATCACAATTGAATTACACATTTCCCTCCATCAAGCCCACGTCAAGAAATTTGTCCCTCCAACTCAGTCTCCCCAAAATCCTCATCATATGATGTGCAAATCACAAGAATAATATGACATCGTTCAAAAAACAAATCACCAAGTCACAATAACAAATTATCGGAGTCATCTATGAAGTTGTGGGGAGGATCAGTAAGGCGTATAGTAATACCCGGAGGGAGGTCCCATTCCATTGACCGGAGGCATTCCATAAGGCATCGCTGGCGTAGGAGCCCCAGCATAATATCCAGTTCCATTGATTTTGGCCAAGCTACTTTGACCTTGCATCCCTTCCCTCGCGTATTGCTGCCAAATTTGCTGCTCATGTACAAGAAAATGCTGTTTCTTCTCCATATCAGCCATTTGCACATATGATGGTGGTGGGATGGTTAATGATGCAGCAAATGGATCCTGATTAACTGGCTGCACAGATCCATCTGGGGCAGGGAGAGCTAAAACAGGGGTAGTACTCTTTCCTGGTCCTGGCAATGCAACACTGCTTGCACTCCCCCCACTCAGTTGGGCCGTGCTGACATGCTGTCTCACCGTTCCTTGATCATACATGCCATTCAACAATAACGGATCAAGCCCACCACCTAAGGCCGTTTTCTGCTTAGATAAATTGCTAGCAGTCTCAACCAATGCCAATTCCCAATCAGCCTTGCCAGGTTCTGCAGCCGGGGTTTGCCAAGC